GTGATCGGCCGGCGAGAGCGGGCGCAATGACCGAGCCGGTCGCCGCCGCCCTCCGGTGCCCGGCGACACATGGGCCGCACCTGCGCGGCCGCAGCCTCCCCCCGGCTGCCTGCTTCCGCCGGCCGGAGACGGCGCGTCGCGGAGGCGGTTCGCGCGGGCGCCCGCTGCCAGGCCGGCGTCCGTCAGCTGCGCGTTCGCTCTGTTATACGGACGGCTGCACGGGACGGGCCCGCGCTGCGAGCGCGCCGGCGGTGGCCCGGCCTCTCCGCTCGGCCACGCCCTGTCACGTGTCTTCCTCGGCCCGGCATTGTGCGTGGCGTCGCCGCAGCCGCTGGAACTGCGCTTCCGTGAGGCCCGGTGGCGGCGCCGCCAGGTGGCGCCGCCGCCGGTCGCCGCCGTCTCTGTCCCGGCCCCGACCTGCGCCGGCGCTCGGCCAGCGGGCCGCCGCGGGCCGGACGGGCGGGTGGTGTTATTAGCTGGGCGTCTGCAGCTGCCCGGCGGCGCGGCGGGGCGAACCTGCAGCGCCGGCCGTCGGCTGCCCGGCCGGCGGGCGTGGCTCGAGTGACTGCCGCAGGTGTCGGCGGCGGCGCGCACACACCTGCGGCGCTCGAGCCACGCACCCGCCGGCCGCGGCCGAACGCCCACGGGCCGGCCCGGCTGCCGGCGACGCGGTGCCCGGACGCGCCGCGTCGACTGCAGCCTGGATTGGGCGTGGTCGGGGGCGGGGGCGGCAGCGGGAGCATCCACGAGCGCCGACGTGTCAACAGAGCCGGGCCTGAAGGCCGGCCGGCACTGCAGGGCGCCGTGCCTCGCAGGGATAGTCAGGCGGTGCCGGGTCGTGCCGATGCCGGCAGGACGACGCCCCGGCTGTGGTCCGCGGCCCCAGCTCTCTGCTGCGCGGACTGATCATCAGCCCCGCCTGCATGCCTCTCCCAGAAGGCTGTATCGGTTTAATTCTTGCTCAAGACCTGTCGCAGCGTAGGAAAACGTTCGCTTTCGGTCGTCAATATGCGTTTAAAGCGCAATTCCTTGAAGTGGTAGGAAGGTCGGTATCTCGAAGGATATTCGTTATCGGTGCCCTCAGATAGAAAACACAGCAGGATGCCTTTAAGCAACGCCATCACAAAAGCTTTGTCCTTTATCGTGATAGGATTGGGACCAGCCAAGACAAACATGACTAGGACCAGATACGAGGACCAGATAAGATAGAAGCAGGAGGTGTGATCAGCAGCCGGGCCCAGGTCGCCGGCCTGCAGCGGTGGCCGCGCGACCTGCGGTGACCCCTCGTCCGGTCAGGACGGCGGCGGCCCGACGGCAGCGCCGACCTCGTCTCTCTTCTCGCCCACGCGCCTCGCAGACGGACGGCGCGCTGCTGCGCGCGGGCGCGGTTGTGTTTGGCCGCTCATAGGGCCGGAAGCGCGGGCCGGCCGTCTGCGGGCGCGAATAAAACGGCCGGCCGCCAGGGATCGCGGCATTGCAGGCTGCGTGGGAGCTCGGCGGCGCCGCTGGGCCGTGCCGGGCGGCGTCCGCGGAGCTCCGAAACTTCCCGTGGACTCGTGGGACGACGCGGGGCGCAGCACGCCACGAAACTGCAATACGGGCGTCGCCCTAAATGACCGTCGCTAGCCGACCACGTCACGGTTGGCAGATGGCCCACAATGAGCGAGAGATCTGTCAGTTTAGGGTGCCGAAGATTCGGTCTTGGAACGATCGAGCCGGTTTGAGATAAGCCCAGTCGCATACAGGTGTCAGCCATGTGTCGATCTGATGGACATCCGAGCCCCCACCGGCCGCCTTCAGAAGTGATGTCGGTCCGCGGAGGAAATATTGATCTGATTAGGATTCCGGGAGCCAGCCCGCCGACCGCCAGACTCCGGGGGGATCTGCCTCTGGAACGAGGCCCGGTCTGTCCGAGTCAATGCGGTCGGGCTGACTCGTCGATGACGTCACGAGAGTGCGCCGGGCACCTGTCGAGGCTGACTCGGAGCTCAGTCAAGGGGCCTGCTCCTGTATCAGCGAGCCTGTGGGGGGGCGTGAGTCACGGTTTTGGCCATGCCGCGCTGGCACGGTGACAACACCGGCCCACGGACGGTGCAAAGTCTGTGGGGGGGGGGGGGGGGGGGGCGCTGTGCCGGTTTCGCCCTCGTGCGCCGCCCCATTGGGCCGGCCCGTCGGCGTTACGGTCACGGAGCGGCGGCCCGTGACCCGGCCCTTCCGCCGGCGCCGGCGCTGACGTCCTATCACCACCCCTGCCGTGGGCCGCCGCGTGGTCGGCCCGGGGTGACCTTGGCTGCTAACTGGCGGCTGCACCGAGCCGCGCCGACTCTGTCCGGCCGCCTGTCGTGCTCTGTGGCGCCGCAATCTGCGGCTATTTTTGATAACAGGGACCCTTAAGAATGGATGCAGGCTGGCTAAGTTCTGTTCACAGGTGATTGGACTGCTCCAGGTTCAGTTTGCAACACTCTTCAGTGTCTGGAGGATTGTTTGATGCCGTCCGCTGGCATGGGTCTTCCTGTGTGCTGAAAGCCGGCTATTTTCAGCGCAATTGTAATATAAGGGGTATCATACATCAACCCTGCAATGCGGGACATGCCGACCTGATCATCTGTTAGTTGGCTTCAGATGGCTCTAGTCAGAAACGCTGTTACGTGTCTTCGGCTGTTGTATTTCAGATCTTTTCGATTCTCTTGGCTGCTGAATACTTGATCATAATGTGCTCAGAGGGCGGAAACGGCGTCGTGCGGTGTTTTATTCTATGCTGGGGGGCCTTCGAGACGTCTCAAGCTGTAACGGCTAACCAGACCCGCTGGGCCGTGCGGCATCGGCCTAGCGGCGTCGCCAGGCCAGCGGCGGCGCCCCCGTGCCAGGTCCCAGTCGTGACCGGCAGCCCGGGCCCCGGCCGGCGCGCCGGTCCGTGTCGGTTGCGTCAGACGGTTGACGAACGCGTCTGTGCCCGCAGTCGTTCATCGGGGTCGATTAGCGGTAACCCGGACGCGGGTGGATCGGCGCTGCCCCTCCCTCGCCCCACCCCACTGCCCCTGCCCCTGCCCCTGCCCCCGTGAACTGATTGCGAACGTGACACCCGGGCTTCGATAACGCCGGTGACCGGTGCTGTCCGCCGCGCCGGCCCTGTCGCCGGTGCCCGCGCAGTGCATGGCAGCGAGTGGGTGGCCGTGTGTCCTTCAGTGGTGGTACGTCGCGCCGCCGCCGGCCGCCTCTCCGCAAATGCCCTACCACCAGCAGTCCAGCCGCAATGTGCTGGAAGCGCTGTACGGCTGGAGCGGGCCCGCCCGGCCCGAGGAGGCCGGGGTGCGGCCGTGGCGTTACAGGTACGACGGTCACCACGCCATCACTCGGCGCGGTGACCCAGAGTGACCTCTGGGGTGTGAGCATGGCCTGCAAGGCCGACTAACGCTAGGTCTAGTGGAGAGAGAGAGAGAGGAGAGGAGAGAGAGAGAGAGAGAGAGAGAGAGAGAGAGAGGAGAGAGAGAGAGAGAGGAGGGAGAGAGGGAGAGAGAGAGAGAGAGAGAGAGAGAGAGAGAGAGAGAGAAAGAAGAGAAGAGAGAGAGAGGCGAGAAGAGAGAAGAGAGAGAGAGAGAGAGAGAGAGAGAGAGAGAGAGAGAGAGAGAGAGATAGAAGGAGAGAGAGCAGAGCAATAGGAGAGGAAGCAAAGAGAGAAACGAGAGAGAGAGAGGAGAGAGAAGAGACGAGAGAGAGAGAAGGAGAAAGAGAGTAGTAGAGTAGAGAGAGTCCACAACAAGCCCCCCCCGCCTCGGAGGCGGCCTGCCGGCTACCGCTAGCGGAGTTTGGGCGACGCTTCAGTAGGTGCACATAACTTAGCTCATGCTCGCGTATGCGCAGCTGGTGCGTATTGGAATCCGATGTCAGCTCGGGTGGCGGCCGAAGGACCGTTCGAATCGATGGCAGCAAAGCATGGAAGGTAGCCGGTCTGGATGTCCGCTGCCTAACCTATAACCTAACAGCTCGGATAGCCAATGGCCTGTGCACAGGATGCGCCGCTGTAGCCCGCGCCACCCCCGCCGTTTAACACCGATCAGCCCCGCTAGCAGACAGAGTGGCTACTAACCAGGAGTTCTGTTGGCGCGTCTCGGGTCGTCGCTGCTGCTCGCTCCTGATCAGACCCGCCCTGTGTGGCGTGATGTGGAGCGGCATGTGACCTCGCCCGATCCACGGCGATTGGATGAAAGACGGGCGGCGCGCCGTCGGCCCCGTCCTCGCGTGCTGCGCTCTCCCGGGCCGTCGACCTTCCAGTGGCCCGTGTGGCCCTGGTCGGCACGTGCCGCGCTGATGGCACGGCGCTGTGGATGGACCCGCCCGCGGAACGGAGGGGAGAGGTGCGGCACGGTCGGAAAGGTCGAGAGGTACGCCTGTTGCCCGGTCAGGGCCTGAAGACGCCGCTACCCCGACGAAAAAACCGGCTGTGGTTGAGAAGGAGGGTAGAGGGTTCAAAGAGTCCGGTCCATCGAGTCCAGAAATCTGGAGGGAACGTGCGGAGTGCAAGAGTTCCCGCGACTCGGACCGACACAGGAATGGGGAAGAAGTGGGTCGGGGCGGACGGGCGGGGAGGGGGGGGGGGGGGGCGACAGCGCCACCGGGGCGGCTGCGGTGGCGGCGGCGGACCGCTGAGCGGTCCGTCACGGACCGCTGTCGCCGCCGACGCATGACGCCCCGCCGCCGCCGCCCCAGCGCCGGGCCGCCACGGCCGCAGCAACGGTACGCCGCCGCCGGCACCGCGCGGACCGCGTGGAGACCGTCGCACCGCCGCCGGCCCAAGGCCGCGCCGGCCGCGTGGCGCCGCGTCGTCTCGCGCCGCGTGCGGCGGCGGCAGAGGCGCCGCTTAGTGGGCCGCGCGCGTTGGCTGTGACGGCTGTGGCGACGGCGGCGGCCGCAGTGACCGGCGTGGGAGCGGCGGCGCGGCCGGCGCGCGGAGAGAGAGCGCGCCCGCCCGACGGTGACGGAGCCGCCCGTGTCGCCGACAGATGGCACTGGCGCCGACTCCACTGGCCTCTCGCACCGCGAGAGGGAGGAGCGAGTGCGGCAGTACCAGCAGCTGCAGAGCGACGAAGCTGACCGGCGACGGCAGGAGCTCGCCCGCCAGGTGAGAGGCCGGCCCGGCTGGCTGACGTCCGCGGCGCCGCGCCGCGCCCTCCTGCCCGCGCTCACCAGCGCCTGGCAATCGTCTCTGACGGGACTCCGTATGTCGTGTGTCATTTTGCCGTCGAGGCGTAGCCAACGGGGCGGCTCGAGATCGTCGCGCGCTCTCTCAGCCTCGTCGCCGTCCGCAAACCGAGCGCCACCGCTTGGCGCGCCTGGTGTGTTCCTGCGCGCCGCGTGTGTCTGACCGCTGTTTCACCATACCAGGCTCCGTCTGCGTGGATAGCGTCCGACTACAGCCCCGGCCGCTCGCCGGGGTCCGGCGCCCGCCTCCCCACCGTGGTCAGTGGTCCGTCCCCGCCTCGCTTGCTCTGCCGCTAACCGCGCCACCCTCAGCTGGCAGCGCCGCCGTGGCCGGCGCGCGCCAGCACGCGCGCGCGCCGGCGTGCATGTGTGCTGTGCCGCGCGAGCGTCCTGTGACGGCCGTGCTCGTGTGCCGTGCCGGTCAGGAGGAGCAGGACGTCCGGCAGCGGGAGCAGGCCGAGCAGGAGCGGCGCCGCCGCTACCGGGAGCTGGGTCTGCGCGAGACGGAGCGACGCTCACAGGTGGGGCGGCCGGCTGCCCGGGGCTGAGGGGGGCCGACATGGCTGGGCTGGAGACAGGGGACGGCCGACGGAGTCAGGAGGGACGGAGCTCGAGACCGCCGGGGTGACGGGTCACAGGCATCCTGGACGCAGGAGAGCCGCGGGACGGCCGCAGGGACAGCGGCGGACGCCAAGGTTCGAGTGCCGGTGACGTATCTGACCAGCGCGTGCAGCCGGGCGAAGTCCGGGACAGTTGCCCGACAGCGGCTGTTAATCCGAGCGGGTGCCGCGTCGGGAGGGGGCCACGGGGACACCCCCCCCCCCTCCCGGCGGACGTCGGGCGTCGGTGTGACCGGAGACAGCGGTCTTCTCCAGGTCACTAGGTAACTCTGCTCCGCCACTAATCGCACCCCGCCCGGTGGCGTCCCTCGCCGCCGCGTCCGACTGGGCCGGCTTCAATTGTCGTGCCGTGGTTGGCCATTGTGTGCTGCTCTGCTGCGACTAACAGCTGTGCAGGCCACCCCGCTCTCTGCCGATGGAGAAAGTGGAAGGGCATGGGCGTGATTCATGCGGTGTGGAGCTTAGCTGTGAGGCGAGACAAAAAACTAATTGCGCCTCATTGTTCTGTTATGACCTAAAATCCATGCGGAGATGCTGGCAGGGTCGAATTGCGCGCCGGCTTAATGGACTACTGATGCAAATAGTTTGTTGGTGATATGGCGTTATGACCCGGTCTTAACCCGATCCCTAGATGTCGAACTAGATCTCCAGTCTTTTGACCCTATCCCCGCCTTCTGATCCGATTGCTAGTCTCGTGACCTGATCCTCGCCTGCTGAGCCGATCCCCAGCCTTCTGACCCGGTCAGCTTTCTGACCCGACCCACCTTCTGACCCATCCCCTTCTGACCCACCCCCTTCTGACCCTTTCCCCCTTCTGACCCGGTCCCGCTCCCTTCTGACCTGATCAGCCCTTCGACCCATCCCCTTTCTGACTCCATCCACCTTCTGACCCCTCCCCGCTCCCTTCTGACCTGATCAGCCTTCCGACTTGATCCACCTTCTGACCTGATCAGCCTTCCGACCCGATCCGCTTCTGACCTGATCAGACTTCCGACCCGATCCACCTTCTGGCCCGATCCCCAGTCTTCTGACCCGATCGCTAGTCGTGTAGCCCGAACACCGCCTGCGCCCTGATCTGTGTGACACGCTGCGCCGTCACCTGTACGACCCCCATGACCTGAGGGGTGGGCGGACCGTCGGCCAGGTGGAGGACCGCCGCCGTCAGATGGAGGAGACGGAGGCGGAGCGGCGCGCCGCCATCGCCCGCCGCAACCAGGAGCGCGAGGCCATGCTGGAGACGCGCCGCCAGCACCAGACCAGCCAAATCATGCTGGGCTTCGGCAGCGCCACGCCGCGCTGGGAGGTGACCGGCGACATGGGCAAAAGGTCAGCACCGCCGCTGGAGAGCCCCTACACCGGGCGCTGGAGCCCTCCGGCGGCTCGGGGGATCGGTCAGCAGCGTGACGCCGTGCCCTCCCAAGGCGTGGGAAGGTCAGGGAGGGCCTTAAGAGGACGAAGGGGTTCTACCTAGTGTACCGCCGGTGACTTACAGGCAAAACCAGGCGCCGGGCGCAGCGCTGGTGGTCGCCAGCTGTCGGCGGCGGCCCGGCTGGAGGCCGCGCCGCACACGCGGCCGCTCGTGGCCCGTGGCGCCGCGGCCACGAGCCTTGCATGACGGCGGGCACGTGGCCCGTGGCGCCGCGGCCACGAGCCTCGCATGACGGCGGGCACGTGGCCCGTGGCGGCGCGGCCACGAGGCGTGCATGACGTCTGGCGTGCGGCTCCTGAACGGGCCGCGGCGGCATGCTTCTGCTCAAAGGCCGGCTGGCGGCGTGCTGAGTGGAGCTGGTGTCTGACTGCATGCCGTTTCTCGCACCGTTGTGGCGGCTGACACGTTGCGAAACAGTTTCTCTTTGGTTTCGAAGTCCATTGGAAAGGGTTCGTTCGCATCCGGTTTGGAATCGTTTGGCTGCGCACGCGTGAAGTGCATAGGACGGTGCTGCTGGATATCAGATAGACTGTCCACACGACTTTGCAGCGCCGCATGTCGTGTAACACGACCCCATTTGTTAGTTGCGGTTGTCTTTGATCAGGTTCGACGGCCCTTGTCTTGTTTCTGCACGAGTGTGTAATTGCACTAATTTGTTTTTGTGCGCCGCCCGTTTTTCACGCACTGCTGTCTGTCGCGCAGTGTGCAGCCAGCCGGCCTTCCACGCTGATTGTCACCGCTCGGTTTTGTTCGCTCCGCCCGTGCGGTCGCCGCCGCCGGTCGGCTCGTGCCTGACCCGGCCGGTGCGCCGCCGTCGCTGACGCCGCCGCTGCCGCCCGGTGCCGGTAGGTACGATGAGTTCTGGCGGCGGTCGGGCTCGCCGGTTACGTCCCATCTCATCCCCAGATGGACGTCCGCCTCGCAGATCGACGGCGCCGGCGAGCGGCACTCGCCGGACGGTAAGCGCCTGCCCGCCGCCGCCGCCGCCGCTGCGCCGCCCCCTGGGGACGCCTCTGCACGCCTGCAGGGCCAGGGTGAGCACGCGGCCTGCGCTGGGGCTGGGGTCGGGGCCGCGCGGCGGGCACGCCCGTGCTGCCGCGGCCCCCATGAGCGACCTCTTAACTGGCTGTGCTGGCGCCACTACTGGCCTGGGACGTGATGCACTGCCGGTCCTCGCCTGTACTGACACCGCCACTGGTTCGAGGATGTCACGCTGTTCATCCCCCTTCACTGGCTGCGCTGGCACCGCCACTGTGCTGGGGTGTGTAATGTACAGCTCACCCATCCCCGCCGGGCCACGCTGGCACCGTCACCGAGCCAGGATTGTGATGCTGCACAAGTCCCTCTCCCTGGATGCACTCACGTAGCTGTTCGGCTTGGAGCCGGCGGCAGCGTGTCTCTCTCTGGGAGTCAGCTGCTGGGTCGGCTGGACTGCGCGGAGACGGGAGTGAGACACGGACGCGGCCGGACCGACCGCGGCCTGTGAGCGGGAGAGAAAGGGCGCCGCTGGGCCGGAACGGGCGCGCTGCATGAAACCGCATGTGAATGTACCGGGCGCAATTGGTTCGAGGAAGGGCCGGAGCCGTGCACGAGACAGACGGCGGAACGCGTGTCATGACCTGCCCAGAGTTCCAGGCCCGGTGATCGCTGGCTGTGCAACCACGGCTGTCATTTATTCTCCGACTGTATCATTACTGAAAGCGGGTGCGTCTTTCCCGTACTTGTTTCATCTATATGCGTACGCAGTGTGTTTCGTAGCGTCGGTAACAAGTAGTAGCCTAGCGTCGGTAACAAGTGACCTCACCTCTGGGCGGTGAGCAGTCCAATTTTGCATTGATGGCGTTGGTTGCAAGTGAAGGCCAGGTCACGAGCGGCCGCACCACACGCTGCCAATTCCAGGGGTTTGAGAACTTAACGACCTTAAGAGCAGTCTGAGCTCCAGCCCAGGCTGAGCTGGGACTAAGCACAGATTGTTCTGACAGATCTCGCGCTCAGACGTCTGTCCCGTGTCTGGGACAGTCGGCGGGTGCTTGGCCCCGTCGCCCGGGCCGCCGGGCTGCGTCGCCAATGGGAAGGCATGTCCCTGCGAGACTTGGGTGCTTGCCTGGCACCAGCAGCTGGCCTATCGTTTCACTGGCTTGTCGTTTCAACCCGCTTTGCCCCAGTCGGGGCACCAGTTTGGGGTCCTAGAGGTTGTCTCCCCCCGTCCCCCGCCCTGGCGTCGAGCCCTGGTGACGCTGCTGCGGGCCGGCCGTCGCCGACCGAGCGTGTCGTGGCGCTCCGTTTGCCGCTGACGACGCGTGTGACGCTCCCGCCCGCCGCCGGCCCGTCCACCGTGCTGACCCGAGCCCGGCCCGGCGTTTCAGCCATGCGCATGTCGACGTCCATGTGCGAGATATTCGGCTGGGCCGACGGCGGCGGCTCGGCGGCTCCGGCCCGGCGGGAGCCGGCAGGAGCCGGGCCGGAGCGCAGCGCCGGTGAGTGCCGCCGGCTCCGCACCGCTGGCGGCGGCTCCAGGGTGCGGTGGCGACCCCTCCGCTGCCGGCCGTGCTGAGCCCTCTGCCGCGAGACTGGCTGCTGGCCGGACGGCTCTCACGCAGCGACGCTGGGCTCGTGTTCGGCTCTGTTGGAGGCTGCTTGCGTTTGCGCGGACGTGCCGGTGGTGAAGTCTCCTGACACGGTCCGCGCAGCGCCCAGTTTGTTTTCCGCCGATGTGGCTTCGCATCTCCTTCACGCACACACGACGCTTCAGGTGTGGCCTGCGTGTGTAAGCTTTTTTATACAGGCATTCATCACACTTGTCCCTGTACATATGCACAACATGCTTTCGCACATGGCGCGTGGGCTTACACGCGCCTTCGTGAAGCCTGACGGGGAGCTACCTCTCCGCGGGCTCCGGCCGGCACAGCTCGGACGGCGTGTACCTGACCCGCCTTAGGCTGCTGGTGGGGGGACGGGAGGTGGGTGGCGGGCGGCGGCCGCAGTCGGACCGGTGTGCCGTGCCGTGGTGTGGCTCCCCCGGGCCGGTGTGCCGTGCCGTGGTGTGGCTCCCCCGGGCCGGTGTGCCGTGCCGCGGTGTGGCTCCCCCGGGCCGGTGTGCCGTGCCGCGGTGTGACTCCCCCGGACCGTGCGGATGGCTCGGCGGCCGCCTGACGCTGGGTCGGCTTGGTCGGGGTGGCTGCCTTGGCCCGGCCAGTCGTGCTCGCCGCCCGTTCCCCAGCCGTCCAGCAGCTCTGGTGGGCCGCCTCTGTGCCAGGCTTCCTCCTGCAGCCAGCTTTATAAGGCAGAAGTTGTGTTGTGTGCGGTAATTCATACTTTGGCTTTGTTGGCCACTCGTCATAAAGCGTTTGGTTTCGCGCTTAGTCCGTCCCGATAGCTCATTTGGTTAGAGCGCTTGCATTCCACCTACTCGTGGTGGGGTGGGTTCGAGTCGCCGTTTAAATTTCGCCACTCAATTCCGCCGTCGACCTGGGCTTTCACCATCGGATGGTAGAGGTCAGGGCAGTCGCGAAACTATCACTTCTCATTGTGAGCTCTGATCTTAGATTTAAAGGTTTCTGACTAGATCTTTAAAGAGGGGTTTTTTTAACACGTGCACATGATAACCAGTTAGCTTTTATAGTCAAAACTAGTGCGGTCTTCATTTCATAAATTTGCGCACCTCTTTTGCGATATATATATATATATATATATATATATATATATATATATATATATATATATATATATATGCATATATTACAGACATGCTGTAATATTGCAGCGATATTGTTTGACGTCCTACGTTAAATGTGGGATCTGCAACCGCAGCTTCTGCTTTGTTATGCTGGCTCGTGGGTCGCATTTCCTCAGTTATAGCCACGTTTTTGTTCGCTCTGACGCCCAGCTTCCCTCTTCGCCTCCCCGTCGCAATCAGAACTGGTGGTTATTTTTGGCTCGCGATTGCGTTCGCGTTTGCTTTTCGTGGAAAGCTTTCGGTGTTCAGACCATGTCGCAAGCTGCCTACTGCCGGATTAGCAGCTTCGTTTGAATGCTTCCGATTTAGCCAAGCATCACCTGGTGCCCGTTCGCCTCCATGGAGCCGTTTTTGGGTCATTCATTCCGTCGCTTGATCGCACGCTTTTTGCGGTTTTTTTGTGCCGCCTCGTCCGTTTTGCCTCGTTAGTATTCGGCCGTGTGTTTGGCTTCTTCTTCGGTTTGTGTCCTCCGCTGCCGTCCGTCACAGACAGCAGCGGAGCGACCGGCTGGGGTCCGCGCGGGATGAGCTGCGGCCGTGTCCCTGCTCTATCCGTCCTTTGACCGGCGGCCGCGTCACACCAGGGCTGGCCAGGCGCCGTCCGCGCGGTTCGTTGCCCGGACGACCGACGGCCGCCAGCCCCGACCAGGGACACGGCGAGCCGGCGGGCCTGTCCTGGCGCCACCGCGGCGGCCGACAGTCAGCCGGCCGGGCTCTGGCCTCTCGTGTGAAGCGTGCGCTGCGTGCCACGTGCCGTCTGGTGGGCTGGCGGTGGGCCCGCCAGCGGGTGATGACGTGTGTGTGTCAGTGAGCAGGTGGCGAGGACGCCCGGCGGAGCATATCGAGCCGAGCTGACCATGGCTGATGAAAATCGTCGGCGTTTGTGGCGGTGCCGAACAGTGACGAGCAGGATGGCGATGCCCCTCAGGGGTCTGAGGGACAGTGCAGGCGTTGAAGGACTGAGGGGGCCCTGGAAGACTGCCCTCCCTTGTCTTGGGTGGCGCTCTATGCATCCGCATTAGCGGCTCCGGCTGCATGGCAGTGGGCCGGTAAAGGCGGATAGCGTGGGACCGGTCCCATGGCCATGTGCTTTTGCCAGTTCATGACCACGGGACAGGACGAAAGTGCATCCGTGCTGCATGTTTGACTCATCTGTCGTGTTTTGGACTGACTGTGTTATCGACTGGCGTGCCGGAGGGGGGGGGGGGATTATCGACTGTTAAGCCCGGGGGGACGACGCGTTGACTGGACTTTAACGGCAATCAATGACTCATGTCCGCGCCGAAAGAGGCGACGACGACCCGTGCGTGCTCCGTGAACGCGGCGCCTGAACAGTGTGTGGTCGACGGTGGCCAGTGACGCGCGACCGGCGCCTGCGCCGCGGGACCGTCGGCCGGCCACTGCGCCTGTGCCGCCGCCACCACCGTCGTCGCCCGCCTGACCCGTCGCTCGGACGCCCGCTGCTGCAGAGGAGCCGTCGGCGCGCCGCCACCGCTCCGACCTGATGCCGACCGTGCCGGGCGGCTCGTTCCGCGACCCGCCGCCGCCGCGCCGCCGCTCGCCAGGTAAAGCCGTCTCGCTGAGCCGGCTGGACCAGGTGGCGAGGCCGCGACCGCCGGCGCGCCGCCCGCCGCCCGAGAGCACGCTGCAGCCGCCGCCGGCTAAACGCATGTCCCAGAGCCTAAGCCACCTGGCGTCGGGGCCGGCGCCGCGGCCCACGCGGGCCATGCTGCTGCGCCGCGCCGCGCGCGAGCGCGGCTCCACGGCCGCCCTCGGTGAGTAGCCGCGTCGTGCGCGCACACTGCCACCGCACACACGGGGCCGACCCGGCCGCACGGTGGGCTGTGTGGGCCGCCGGCGGCCACTTGTGTATTCGCGGGAGGTGAGCAGGGTTTCGTCGGACGTTCTTGGTGTGTCGGTTGTAAAGGGAGCATCTCAGGACATAGTGTTTATGGTTGGCTGTTCACTGAGAGATGTATCTGCCTGTAAATATGCCTAGGTTCCGGTCGGTAGCGTTACGTTTTATGTCCGGGCCGTTTTGGGATGCCTGCTGGGTAAGTGAGTGCGAGCCTTTTCACAACGCGAGCCCAACGCAGCCCGGCTGCCGGACGTCACCCCCACGTGCCCGGCGAGTATCGCCACGCGTTACATACAGTCACGCCAGACACAGACACACAGCGCGCGTCTCCGGCCCCGCCGGCGCCGCCGGAGGTCCGGCGCTCGGCGCCGGCCGCCCCACCTGTCCAGGTAACGGCGCCGCCCTAACACGCGCCGCCGCGCCGGCTTGTCCCGCTCACCTGGTTTGGGTCGGGGCGCGGCCCGCGCTCGCGCGCGCCGCCCCGGTCGCCTCCGGTGCTGGGCTGTCCGGCTGGACGGCATGGCATGCGCACCACTGACTTGGACTGCATCCCCGGGCCGGTGGCGTGGCCACGCCGCTGCCACGTGCATGGACTGAATGTAATATGGTCGCCGGTGGCATGAGTCACACAGGACTGCGCCGTATTACCATGCCGAGTCATGCTTGCATCGGTGCATCGTGCCGGGCGATGGTTTGTTTGCTGAGTGGCTTTCGTCTGGGGGTGAAAGCATGCCCGAGCTCCGCGAAATGGCCTCTCATCGGTCTGCCGACGGACTGGCACTGACTGAGTGCGGTCCATAACCAGTCGCACGACGCGCTTTGCTTCTTTGAGGGCGTTAAAATATTAACATCCGATGGATGTATGGCCTTTGGTTCAGAACCGCGTATAATATTGTATATGGATTTTATTCACGGCCAGATCTTATGCCTGGCGAATGAATATCGAGCAGGCGCGCACAAGTGACTTTATTGGGCCTCACATAGCTTTTCATTGTCTGTAGTTACTGTTGAAACACTTGTTGTGCCGCGTACGAACGCCCTTGGACACTTGCTGTCGTTTGAGGATGTGCAGATGTGTCTACTGATGGCGTGAGCTGGTGACTCCGTGTTGGTGTGATGCGTGAAGGGTTGTGCTTCCAGAAATGGCGGCTTGGGACTGACTCCGTGTGTCCTGGAACCTCTTCCGCCGCGCTGTCATTGTTGCTCTTTTGGGCTGGGTTCTCGGTTAAATTGATGTATTTGCGGTTGGTATTGTCCTTGTTTTGTAGTTGTTCTCCTATCTTTGTTTCATTGTTCTTACCCGGTTACTTATTGTTGGGATTAGCTGTAACTTGATGTGTTTGTTGGCCTCCGCGTGTCTGCTTCTCGCTGAGTTATTGTCCTAATTTCTTCTGTGGCTCTCTCCTCTCTCAGTCTGCTCCCTCCCCTTCCAACCCCCGTCCGGTGTGGCGCTCCCTGCCCCTGCGCCGCTCGCTCGTAGCTTGTCCGTCCCCGGCGCGCCAGCGCTCGATGGGACCTGTACCCGGCGCCGCCGGCTGTAACGCTCGCCGCGCCCGGCCGACAGGCGCCGGTGGCGCCTCCTCCCGGCCGTCCTCGGCACTCTCTCAGCAGAGCGGCGCCGCCGCCGGCGGCCGCGGCGTGGCGCTGCGGTCGCGGGCGTCGCCGCGTCGCCAGCGGCCGGTCAGCATCGCCGGCCTGCCGTCCCGCCCGGCGACCGACAGGACCGATGCGGAAGGTACGGCCGGACCGGTGGCCGCGCGCCGGTGGGGTGCCGGCGATGGCGCCGGCTCCCAGTGCGGCGGCGAGCGCGCAGAGCCGTGCGCCGTCAGAGCCCCCGTCAGAGTGCGCCGGAGAGTGAACAGGAACAGTGTAGGCGCGTGGCTCTTTGTCGTTTGTGGAGTTGGACGGTGCTATTGGTAGAGGAGGGATATCCCCCCTCATTTTCTCGAGGTAAATCCACGCGGATCATATCCTCAAGCAGTGCTTGCCGGAAACTCAAGGCAGATAGCTTTGGAACGGTGCAGTTCCCCCATCCTGGCGGCGCCGCGTGCAGCTTATCAAATTAATTCGTCGGAAGTTAAGTCAGCCGGAAGTAAGTCGCCATAATATCCTTGCGATGTGGAGCAGACGAAACTGCGCATAGCAGTATCACACACCGGTATGACGACGTAACGTTGTCGGCTATAGCCTCGGAAAATGTGAAGCTCGATGGGCGCATTACCGCCTGGGAGGGCGAGCCAACTAGTGCAGCCACTACGTGAAGACTCGACGCGTTCTCTGCGACAGGGCAGATGAGCATCAGCAGTGGCTCATGCAGGCTTCAACCTGCTTGGTCTGGGCTGTATTAGTGGCCCGGTGTACAGTGCACATAACGCCGCCCATTTTGCAGTTTGTTTTTGTACCGAGTATGCTCTGAATATCACGCACATGGTTTTACTCTGATTTGCTTGGGTTCCGCAGCGTGCATATTGTTTCGTTGATGTGCCGCCGTACATGTGCTATTAACAGCGCCTGTCCCCGTCCACGCGCGACTGCACTGACCCCAGTCGCGTGCGGCGTGGTCTGTGGAATCCCGCTGCTTGTGGCGGCAAGGTCTGGTGTCTGGCCTGTGTCTACTACTGATGTCCAGTGTCTCCTCTTATGCGTCCTGTGTCTGACCGACCGGTCACACCGCGGACCGTGGCTGCCTTGCGTCTCATGGCACGTAGCTTGCCTGTTGGGAGCCGTGCCTGGCTGTGATTCTCTGACCTCTCGTGAACCCGTTCTTTGTGACCTGTGAGCTGAAGGCTGGCATACTTGACCTGCTGTGTCGCTGATCTGTTCGTGGTCTTCTGTGTGGAGCCAGGCCTCCGTACCTGACCGGAGAAACCTTGTCCATGGCTTGACGCTGGCGTGCCTGACCTGACGGGCCCTCCGCCTGGCCAGACGGGCCCTCCACGTGACCTGACGGGCCTTCCGCCTGACCTGGCCTGCCCTGCGTGACGTGACGTGACGTGGTGTGTCGCTGACGGCAGCGTCGCGGACCCCGGGCCGGGTCAGCAGTGCGTCGACGCCGCGCCGACCGCTGCCGGCCAGCGCGCCGTCCACCGAGCCGCGCCGACCCGCCGGCGCCGCCGCCACCGCCGCTGCCGCCGCCGCGCGCAGAACGCCGGCGCAGGTGAAGGTGGACGACGCAAGGAAGAAGGTGAGAACAGGACTCGGCGGCCGACAGCGGCGCACGCCGTGCAGTGTACCTGCATTGACTGAGTGTACCCGCCAGTGTCTGAATGTACCTGCCAGTAACAGAGTGTGCCCACCAAGGGCTGAGTATACAAGGTGCACTCGCAGTAGCAGTACTGAGTGTACCTACAATGACTCGGTGCTGAATACCCGCCAGTAACCGAGTGTTCTCGCCGGTGACTGAGTGTACCAGCAAGTGACTGAGTGTACCCGCCAGTGACTGAGTGAACCGAGTGCGCCCGCCAGTGACTGAGTGTATTGAGTGCACCCGCCAGTGACTGAGTGTGCTGAGTGCGCCCGCCAGTGACTGAATGTACTGAGTGCACCCGCCAGTGACTGAGTGTACCCGCCAGTGACTGAGTGTACCGAGTGCGCCCGCCAGTGACTGAGTGTACTGAGTGCACCCGCCAGTAACTGAGTGTACCCGCCAGTGACTGAGTGTCTCCGCCAGTGACTGAGTGCACCCTCCAGTGACCGCAGTATTACAGGACAACATCTCCGACAAACTGACGGTCGTGCAAACAGTGATGAGATGAGCGAAGTGTTGGCGCTGGCGTAAATGTAGCTTTGGCTGTTCTGAATGGGAAACAACGCGTGCATTGGTGCAATAACGAGGAACTTTGCTTCATATGAAATATTCCAAACGGTTGTGATGCTGCCGTAGCCCTCGGTAGCGTACTCTGCATGTTGTTAATATCCAGTGCGGAGGGCCCGTGGCCGGACTCCTTACGCTCGGTAGCTGGGGTGCCACACGCACCTGATGAAAACATACCTCTGAGTTGGTGCGTTACGTCATTGGTCTGCCTGCCTTTGTACGCCTATGGGACGGGCTATGTGGAGGGTGAGGTCGAGTTCTGTATTGCGTGGTAAATGGACGTATCTCACGCGTTTCTGTAAAAGGAAATGGCTGGGTGTGCCGCTGCAATGGAGTGAAGAGGACGTCTTCTGACGTTCCAGAAGCAGCGTTCCAAATCCAGCACGCCCCAGCCGGCGGAGGCGCGGCCTGAGGCGAAACCAGAGCCGGTGCCGGCCGAGGTGGCGCCACCGCCTGCGGAGCCGGCCCCTGTGCCGGCGGTAGAGGTGGCGCCACCGTCGGCAGAAGTGGTCCCGGAGCCGACGCCCGAGGTGGCGCCACCGTCTGCAGAGGCGGCCGCGGAGCCGGTGGCCGAGGCGGACGGCACGGCCCCGCCCGAGGAGCCGCGGGACGCCTCTCCGCCGCGTGCCGTACCCACCGTCACCGTGGAGCCGGCCACGCCGCGGCCGGCGCCGCCCGCCGACGAGACCCCTGGTGAGCGCCCCGCCCCGGGAGCGGCCGGCGGGGGCGGGGGCGGGGGCGGGGCAGGGCAGGGCAGGACAGGGCTGGGGCAGTCTGACGTTTGAGTACTGCACTGGTCCGCGGGGGTTGAGCTGGTAGAGTCGGTCTGCGTGATCCCTCCGGAGATGGCTGCGGGGTCGCGCGAGAGATTGCCCAGCTACGGGCGCTAATCCTGACATGCGGAAGAGGCCATGAGGTTGGTTGCGCTAGCAGCTAATAGCTCTAGGATGTCGCTGAGACGAATCAGAAGTTGATCTCTATTAGCGGCGTGCGTTATCGCAATCTTGCTTTGTCATCAAATTGCGAACTTTCGTGGTCTGGCGACAACCGAATAACGTGATCGAGGGAACAGTGAGCAGTGGACGTCGTATTAACCAGTGTTCCACGTTTGCATGCACGATGTGGTACTGGCGCAGTCTTGCAGTACTACGTAGAGGAAACAAGCCGGCGGATTAGTGACAGCGTGTCGTGCTGACGCCGTGGCGATTGCAGATTTCCTCGAAATGGAAGAACCTTAAGCTTATTTCACCACGTGGCATTGAATCATTTCACCGTCGAGCTTTCGGTGGCCGTGACCCCCGCGGTGCCGAACCAAACCCCCGAGTGTCGTCACGGTCCCTGAGAGCGCTGAACAGCACGGCCGCGGGGCTGCCTTCGTTTTCCTGGCGCTACCGCCGGCTCTTCACCGGGGCATTCCATTGGAGGGGAGGGACAGACGTGCTGAAGCAAACCACTCATCGCACTGTGCGGAGAAAGGTAGCGTCGTTGGTGACGCCTGACAAGCAAGCCCGAATTATTTTCATCATGATCGTCGACCCGGTCACCCTCCAACGAGCCTTTGTTTTGGCAAGTGATCGATTACAAAAGAAATTCTGACGCAACCACTTTTTGCGCTACGCGCGTGAGCAAGGTCAGAAATCTGGTGCGTACGTGCCGACCGTTTCTTGCTACATTGAGCCGACGGGCGGAACCCACCCCTACCCCCCGGGTAGTGTGGCCGGTACGATAGAAAGACCTGCCCTGACCTGGTTTCCCCGGCGGACGTCGCTGGTACGTTGGAATTGCGCTCACCGTTCGGGTGCGAGAGCGAGATCTGCCGTGATCTGCCCTGCCCTGCCCTTCCCTGCCCTGGCGTTCCCTGACCTACCCTGACCTGACCTGACCTGACCTGACCTGACCGGCAGACGCCGCCGGCACGCCGGGAGAGCGGCGCCGGGCCGGCTACGAGAGCGAGGCGGCCGCACGCGCCGCGCTGGCCGAGAAGCGACGCCGCGCCAGGGAGGAGGCCGACCGCCAGGCGGAGCTGGAGCGCCAGCGACTGGAGCAAGAGCGACTTCAGGAGCAGGAGCGGCTGCGGCTGGAGGAGGAGCAGCACCGGCGCGAGATGGAGGAGCAGGAGCGGCTGATGGAGGAGGCCGGCCGCGCCGAGCAGGAGCGGCTCCAGCGCGCCATCCAGGTGCGGCGGGCTGACGGCCTGGCGCCGGGTGGCGGCAGCTCGGTGCCATTTGGCGAACTTGATGCTATCGAACCGTATGGACGAGAATTAAGTGTACGTGAACCGACCTGCTTTCTCACCGACCGCGCGTAACGCTGGGCTCTGTGACCCCGACCGAGCGGGAGCCGGCCACTGCTCTGAAACGGAAGCCCAGTAAGTGTGACGGCTGACAGGACAGGCTGTTGTCGGGCGTGCGCGCTGTCGCAGCGAGGGTGTGAGCCTGACGAGGCACGCGGCCTCCTCAGGAGGCGGAGGAGCAGCGCGCCCGCGAGGAGCAGGCGCGGCTGGAGGAGGAGCAGCAGCGGCGCCAGCGCGAGCTGGAGGAGGCGGCCGCGCGCGAGGAGGCGGAGCGTGCTCGGCTGGCGGCCGCCGAGAAGCTGCGCCAGGAAGAGGCGGAGCGCAAACAGCGCCGCAGCCGCGTGGCCGAGATCATGAGCCGCACGCGCAACAACAACGCCCAGGAGAAGGTGGGTGCGGTGACGTGACGTGACGGTAGCGGTAGCGGTAGCGGTAGCGGCGCCGGCTGGAGAGGGGCCGTGTGTCAAAGGAGTCCGCCTCTAGACGCCGGGGGGGGGGGGGGGGGGACGGTGCGAGATGGTGACAGGCGGTATGCCAGGATGAAGGTTTTGATCTCCGTCCGGTGTTTCGCGGTCCGGAACCGTCGGCTGCTGGCCCGCCCTGATGGTGTGCGGTTTGGGCTGACCCTCCATAAGGCTGCCGGCGAGCCTGTCGCTGTTTCTGTGGCTCGGTTGGGAGCCGTGTTTTCACGAGCTGACCCCGTGATCTCGACCGGAAGCTTGGTCGCTGGCGGGCGGTGCTGGTTCCCGTTGTTGGACTTCGTTGGAGAGGAGTGTCGCCAGCGCTCACTTGTGTGCTGCGCTGAATGGCGCGGAGTGGCGATATTATTGGTTGACTTGACATTGCCTCGCAGGCATGGGTAGTGACTTGGTGATGACTCCATAGGAGAAGCTGAGGCCCATTTCGGTTTTGCTTCACGGGCGTTCATTGTCTCATGTTGACCCTGCCGTTGTATGCCTGTCCTGTCTGTTACGCTCCCTGGCAACAAGCATATACTGCCGTTTGGCTGAATATTAATGCAGTGGGAGTGGAAATCACTCCATAGTGGGACTGGTGCGGCTTCCATCTACTCGTTCAGACAGGAAGCTGATAGATGCCGCGTGCCTCGATGCCGGTACGCCAGTGCTGCCAACCAGTCTGGTGGCGGCAACCCAGTCCGCGACGTGTGTGTGGGTGTGGTGTGTTTGTGGTGTGTGTGTGGCGCTGTGTGGTGGAGAGAGTGAGATAGAGAGCTGACGCGTTCGACGGTTCCACAGACGGAGGGCTTGGAGGGGGAGGATGAGGTTAGTGGCACTGCGACGGCTCTGCTCGGGTCTGTTGGCTCTCTTTCCCTCGTTCTCGGGCTCTGTTGTTTCCCTGTCCCGCCTTCTGGGATTCTGTCGACCCTATAGCCTTCCTTCTCAGGCTCTGTTGGCTTTATGTTCTGCCCTATGAGGCTCTGTCGGCCCTCTGCCCTGCCTTCTGGAGCATTATCGGCTCTCTTCCGCGACTTCTTGGGCTCTGTCGACCCTCTATCCCTGCCTCCTCGGGCTCTGTCGGCTATCTTCCCCGACTTCTCGAGGTTTGTCGGCCCTCTGCCCAGTATCGTTGTCTTGCCTGGGTGTGTCGGGTTGGCTGTCTGCAGTTGTGATCCGGTGATGAACCTGCCTCTGGTATGTCACGGGCTTTCGCTGGCAACATGGTGCTCCATGCTGGGCATATTCGCATTCGCTGGTGTTCCATGCTATCCTGTCAGCCTGGCGTCAGTAGTGCCTGGCAGTGGTGCCTTGTGACCTAACCCACACCTCTGAGCGTGGGGAACTTGGGGCCTAGGGTGATCTGTGACGTCACACTGTCTCCGAACTCAGCACTGCTTCCCAACGACCACCGCCATCCAGCACTCGCCACAGAACACGCGCGGGTCTCCACGTGCTGCACGCGTTCATCCTGCTACGCACCCATGGCAGCCAGAGCGCGTCAGCTGTGACCCGGCCGGGGACCCCGCCGACCGCCGGCCTCCGCCCGCCCACTGCCGTCCCTGAACGCCGCCCCGAGCGCCGGGCTGCTGACCGGCCTTGTTTATGAGCCGCGTCCCGGGCACGTGGCTCCTGTTTGGGCGGCCGCTATCGCCGAGTTAACCGAGACGCGTCGGCACCCGCCGCTGCAGCGCGAGTCTGCAAACACGAGCCCGGTGCGCGGCGCCGGGCCAGCGGCGCAGCACAGCGCTCCGTTGGCACGCTGCTGCGACTGGGGCGCGGTTGCTGAGTCGAGGCCGGCGGCGTGGCTCGCGTCTGAGGCGGCCAGCGCGGAGCGGGACCCGACCGGCGTCCCCCGCGGAACGGATAGCGACAAAAGGCGCGCTGCCGTGCTATGTTGTGGGCGTGCTGACGCAGGTGGTGGCCGGAAAGGCCGGACATTCTAGTATGACAGGCCTGTTTAGGATGTTCGGGCTATTTTCGTAACTTTCGTCATGCACTGTTCAATGTAGTGACTGTTGCGGGCCACCCAAATCCTTGCGTTGGCTGTTGCTGTACAGCCGTCCCTAGCTTTGACTTTGTTTGAACACTCACACTAGCTTATGTGAAAGGGTTACCCGCGTACAGTTATACTGCATCGCCCTGAAGGTCCCAGAGGCTATATGCTAAAGCCGTCGATAACCGACAAAACTGTCTCACCGCGCGATGGAGCAGCGGAGTTTGTTAGCAAACGAAGGCCATCTGTCATCCTGAATGGTGCCTTGTTTGGAGGGCCAAGTGTTCGCAGCACGCCACCCAAGTGACCCTGTGCTTCAGGCCGTCCAAAATAGCCGTGACACTTCAAGGTGCGCCGTGCGACCCTAACGACGCCGTGCGAACGGCCGGGCCCGGCCGGCGACCGTCGACCGGTCCACGTTCGTCTCGTGCGGGGACGGCTGGCGCCGGCCGCCCACCGCTGTGGTGCCGTGACCCCGGGGCTCTCCAGGCAGAGGGAGGGGGTGGGGGCCAGGGCCGTCCGTTTGACGCCGGGAGCTGAGTCGCGTTACTGTTACTGCGTGCACCGAAGCGCACCGCGGGATGAAGTCGCGAGCTCTGTGCGCCGTCCGGCGTCCGCTCGCTCGTCCGCGGCCGTCGGACTGGTGGTCCGTGAGCCGGCAGGAGTGACGCCGGGGCTCGGCGCGCCGCCCGTTGGCGACGCCGGCGGTCGGGGGATCCGGGAGAGTCTGATGACGCGCGGCGCCGGGCCGCGTCGGCCAACTTGTGTCGGAGGAGCGCGGCCCAGCCGCCCGCGGCCGGGGTCGGTGGGAGCCGAGGGCGTGCTGGCCCCGGCGCTCCGCCGACTTTAGTTCCGGCCGGCCCGCTCTGCAGGCGTCTGCTCCCACCGCCGTGGCTGGCTGCCGGGCGTTCCGGGAGAGGTAGCCTCCTCCCCCCCCCCCCCCCTGTCGTCGGGCACGCCGCCGCCGCTGGATGGTACGGCTCTTCGTCCGAGAGGTGGCTCGGGCCGGTCAGCTGTTTCTGACTCGGTTGGCGCCTTCTCCGAACGCTGCCAGCTCCGGCTGGCGCGTGTGTCCGCGCTAAGAGGCGACTCGCGTCTGGTGGGACTGGTCCTTGGGGACGTGACTGGTGACCGACAGTCGCTGGTGCGCTCCGGGGCGGGGGGGGGGGGGGGAGCAGTGTACGCTGGTGCCGTGGCGGTAGACCAGGACCTCGGGGCCTGGGCCTGGCCTGGCCTGGGCTGGTCTGGTGCGGCGGACTGGGACACGATGCCGGCAGCTGGCCACCGCACTGATTGGACATGTTGTACTATGGCTGGTTTTGCCGCCGATGAGATGGTAGACCACGGCCGAGCGGCGCGCTGTGGCGCGCGGCGTCACGCTTTTCTAGACGCTCGCCACGGCTGTGGATGTTCCTGTCAGGCGGCGTCGGTGGAGCGGCGCGCCCTCCGCTGGCGGGCGGGGGTGGGGCTGGGCGCGGCTGAATCACACGGAGGGGCGAGCTGCCCTCAGGTGGGCGCTGAGTCACGACAGACCCCGGCGCCAGCTCCAGCGCCGACGCGGCGCCGCTCTGCCGGTCTCGTCCGCAGTGGATTCTACCCTGATGAGTGATGCACAGCCTGAACTTAAGCCGCCACGACCGGTGGTGGCGTTGTTGGGTCGTTGATTGGGCTTAGCGTGGCGCGCTGGCTGCGGAATGAGCTTTTCTGTGGAAATGCATTGAGCGGTCCTGTGCAGCAGAACGGTGCTGTTTCCGGTGCTTCCAGCGGCGCTCGCGGTCGCATACCGCCTCACGGAAACGGAGCCAAATAGCAACCGCGCTGATGCCGCCGACTGAGTGCACAGGTCTCCCCGCCGGGTCTCACGTGAGCGTGACTCCCGCTGACTCCCATGACCTTCCGACTCGGCCGGTGTCCCCAGTAGATTCCCAATGAGTTTGAAATGAACGTGACTCCCCGCTCCTGCCCACTATCAGGCGAGCGCGGCTCCCGCTGACTCGACCGTCTCGTGCCCTCAGGCCGCTCCCACCGAGTCGGAGATGAACGCGGCGAACGCTGCCCCACCAAGCGGGCCAGAGCAAGCGCCCGAGCCTGCGCCCGAGCCGGAGCCGGAGCCGGAGCAGCCCATGTCGACTGGTTCGAGCCCGGCACACACCAACGGCACCAACGGTCACAGCGGCGGGCCCAGTCCGGAGCCGGCCGAAGACGACCATCACAGCGAGTGAGCGCCGCTCCCTGCGTCCCGGCCGGGAGTCCGCATTGCTGGTGGCCAGGGTGTCCGCTGAACGCCCTCCTGCGGTTGGTTAGATGTGGCCGTCCTCTCAACGGGGACTGTGGTGAAGCCTTCTCTGTAAAGTCGGGCCCCCCCCCCCCGCCCTTCCTCCCACGAAAATGTGCGTCAGATACCCGGGAGGGGGCGAAACGGAGACGAAAAAGGAAACCTGATGCAAGGACCATGATGAAACATCCTGGCTTTCGTTCGAAGCCGCATCCCGCAGACACCGTGGCACGCTTAGATTAAGGGTTTTGCCACGCTCTTTCATCATCTGGTATCTGTTTACCCTGGCATTTCCCGCGGCAGGCGCGGCGGGCCGTTGGCGCGTGATTTAGATCCTTCCAGTTTGTTTTCCCAGCCTGTCCCGCCCTTTGCGTTGGCCCCGGCTGCGGTGGCGGTGCTCTCGGCTCGCTCCGGACCTGAGGGGCGCGTCCATAAGCACCGGAGTGGTCTGGGCAGTCCGGGTTCGCACCGAAAGGCTTTAGGGCCTGCGTTCATCATGGGAGCCTGTACAGGTCCGTTTTCACCAGGGTGAGATCTGGCGGCGCCTCCTGTGTTGATCAACGATCTGACAATCGTGACAGCGTCCCACCGGTAGCTTGCTCGGGCGGGCGCTGCTGCTGTTGGTCCATCCCCCGGGTCGTTCCGGCCGCCGTTCGTGGCGTGGCGGCCGCCCGAGCGCCCCAGTCGTGACAGGCGTGGCCGGCCGCCGCCGTCCGGCCGCCCCCGCGGTGCGGTGTCGGGCTCGCGGCGGGACCAGGATCGATCCGCAGGGGCCGTGGAGGGGGTGTAAGGCGCCGGACCGCCGTAGGCGACCGGTGCGCTGCCGACCGGGCCTGCGCCACGAGACGGACAGCCATGTCCGCAAATTTGGGCAAACCGCTTGGTTTCTGAGACCTGGGATGAGCACACGTGGCCTGGAAACTTACCCGACCCAGAGCATCCCACATGTACCTGATCACATAGGACGTAGTGGACGTTGTTCTTCAATGCATTATCAGCCGATGTAAATAGCATGTAAGGCTCGGGCCGTCACCACATTTGAAGCCGCCGCTTAGTATCGGGGAAAGGGGGGGGGGGGGGGGGGGGTGGCGCTCACAAACACGAAACAGAATGAAAAAGCATTCAGTTTGCGGCCAGAATGATCGCCGCATATGACCCAGAGATTACAGCAGGTCCCGGGCGCGATAAAAACACTTCGTTGGCGTAATATAGACGAGTCGAATTCCAAACGCGGCACACTTCCTATCAGCCAACTGCTAAGGTCGCCAAACGCCCGCAAATTGTGTCTACTGCCCTGGTGCTGAGACGCGCCGTTCCGAGCCAGTCGCATGTGCCAGAGTCCCCTTCCCCCACCCCCGCCCCTTCCACACGTAGCCCGTCCGTATCACCCGTGTGTAGAGCCGCCAGTGCATGCAACCGCCTGACGCCAGATGCCAGGGGGGCCGTGACGTCACGCAGGCATTTCCGTGCGGGCTGGCGGGTTTGTTGTGGCGCGATGCTGGGCCGGGCTGGGCTATTTAACGTTGCTTGTGCTCGTGTGTTCTGCATTGTCCGTTATGCTACGAGAAACTGGAAAAGCCACGATGTGAGATTTCTTGAATCGCATGCCGATCCCGCCCATACTCTGGGCTGATTGGAGTGCGGCCGCCATCGCGCTGGCGGCGCCAAGTACTGCACGATCCGGACTAGATATATAGGAAAAAATGAATGTGCGCGGAAACCGCTGCCGCGATGTATATATATATATATATATATATATATATATATATATATATATATATATATATATATATATTACAAGAGTACCACACCACAGGAAACACCACATCACCGACTTAGGTAACCGTCTCATCGTCCTTGTCGCTCCAACGGAAGGGCGCAGAACAGATAGCTTGGGACGTGCTGCCGCATGCCTGTGTTCCCGGTATGGAGACATGTTCTGCTGGCCACCAGCGAGCGGCCCGGCGTCTCGTCCGGCTGTGACGGGGCTCCTGGCGCCGGCTGCACCGGACCGCGAGCCGCGCTCGGGCACTCCCTACAGCATACGGCCCGTGGTGTGGTCTGCCGGAGGCTGTCGCTATGGGTCAGGCGCTGCGATGAGCCCGCCTCCGCGGATACGTTGCTGCGCTGGGTACTGTATTGTCCTGCGTCGGGCAGGAGTCCACCTCGTCCCGACGGCACATGCCGCGCTGCTGGAGCTTCGCCGTGTGCTGCCGTGTTTTGTTGCTGACCACCGTGAGCCGGCCGGCGTCGAATCCCGGCCACCTTTTCAGCCATCCTGCGCCCTGTGCCTGCCGCGTCCCCTCTGACCTCCTCGGAGGCTTCCGGCACGGACGTCGGTGCCGAGCCGGGACTGTGCCGCCCGTGGGGACGTCGCTGGCCGCAGCTGGGCGGCTTCCTGTTCTGAGAATCGGCCGGCGCTGGCGGCTGGTGGCGAGCGAGGCGGCCGTGGGGAGGCGAGCGAGCATTGCCGGTGTGGTCAGCTGGCGGCCGCGACGAGACCGCCTCGAGTCGCTGCTCTGTGCGCGGCGCAGCGTAGCGAATGGTTCGTGTGTCAACTTCAGACAAGGCAATCCAGTTAGGGGTCCAGGTGGAGCCGACTAGATTCGTCCTGTCTCGTTTCGTCCTGTTTCGTTCCTCTCGTCTCGTCCGAACTGGGATCAGGAGTAGTGTAGAATTCCCTCCAATACGATGCATATTTTTCTTCAACTCTTTCGGTATCGCAGTCCACTGCATTGCTCGCCGAGCATGACATCTTGCTGACGCTCAGCTTCTCAAGCCCTCGACCAGCTGAGAGGCGGCCAGGACGAGTGCCTGAAGCTGCCGTGAAGCTGACGAGTGCCTGAAGCTGCGGTGTGCTGCCGTGTTACGTCCCTGTCCGTGACCTGCCGCGGGCCTGTCTCTGATCCTCCTCCGCCCGCCGCCGGCAGCATCATCCTGCCGCCGCTACACGCGCTGAGCCTCAAGTCGACGCCCACCGCTGACGAGGACTCGCTCAACTCTAACGACACGTCACACGCCGCCGTCTGTCTGGCGGCCGCGCCGGCCGCCGAGCTCGACCACGCGGCTCCGATGGCAGGTAAGGCGACGCTGGCGGGTGTGGGGGAGGGGGGGGAGCACGGGGAGGCGGCGGCGGGGGCGGGGAGTGCCGGGCAGCGGCGCCGCCGGGTGGACGAGGCGGGTCGGGGTGGCGGGACGTCGGTGGAGCGGGCTGAAGGGACGACACCCGGGTCCACGCACGAGATCACGGGTGGAACGTGGACCGCTGTTGACCAGTGGCGTTCGCAGAACAGGGGACAGTACCCGGCGGCACTTGAATACCATTTCTCGCGGCGGAGGTGAAACCCCTTCACTGATGAGTGTCGGCGGAGCATTGGACGACACCGACACAATGGGCCGGCGTCGCCCAGCGCTGCTCACCGGGAAATGCCTTCCCTCGCAGCCAATAGCGCGGCGAAGACGCCCGGGTCTCGTATCTCGTAACACAAGGGCGTGTGGAAGCATCGTTAGATATCTCCGCTGCCAACAATGGCTGTACGAGCTGGGGCGCCAGTTACTGTCAGTTTCTGTCACGACAACATGATGCACGTTGCCACGTCTCCTTTTATGAAGCGCCAGCGGCTGCGTTGGCCATGTTAGCGCTAAGGGCCCAGGACGCAACGGGGATTCGAACACGGCCTCCCTCCCCCATGTGGGAGTCCGACGCACCAACGTCTCGGCACTACGCCCACTCCCGCCCGTTGGGCCCGTTGGAGCCGCAACGTGGGCGTGGTTCAGCCCGTTTTTTAGATGCAGCCCTCGCGCGCTGCCTTTCAAGCCCGGGATCATGCGAAAGACAGTCCGCTTCAAGTGCGTAACATTCCACGCAGAACCGGGCGCTCACCTGACCCGCCTCATGGAACGCAGACATTAGACGAGACCATCAGCAAAGGAGCCGGGAATGGCTGCCTCAACACTGCTGCTTCTTCAGGCACAACACCAATGGCGAATTCGTTGTCGAGATGCAAGTTTGCGGTTCAGACCAGCGGGCAATGAGCTGACGAGGGGAGTAGGAAGCTTCTCCGGTTCATGCTGAATGTACCTCAACAGTTTTTAACAGATCGCTTTGGGTGATATGTGCATAGATATGCATACGTATGTATAAACATTAATATACAGATATATGTATATGTGTACATATATATATATATATATATATATATATATATATATATATATATATATATATTATGCATATGTACACGGGGCAGCCCCTCATACTTCGATAGCGTGGTCTGCGGTGGACGCTGATTGCCGTAAATACTGGCGCAACAAGCGTCCGTTACGTTTCCTTTGGTTCGTTTAATATGCATCTATATCTTAATGTATTGATTTACTTATATGCATATTCCAAAGGTGTGGACCCATGTGCCCACCTCTTCAACCGCCGTCTTTTTGCGCCTTCGTCCTGAAGACCTCCATGTACCTCACAATTTCCCTGTCGGCCTCCCCGCTCCTGCCTCTCTCCTCCGTGCCTGCGCGGCCCTGGTTCTGACCGTTCAACATCCACTCTGCGACCGGCGCCGCTCTGCCTCCATGCCCGCGCCTCTGCATCTCCCCTCCACCGGCGCGCCCCTGCACGGCCGCCGCTGTGCCGCGCGCTCCGATTGGTTTCACCGGCCGGAGGGGGCCGGAGCGCTCGTTATCTGCCGGCCGCACCGTGACTTTGACACACAGCTCAAGGTCACCGCTGCCCGCCGGCCATTAGACTCCCGCTGACGCCGCGAGCGGCGGGGCCGGCGCGCCGACGGGCAGCCGTGCGGCGGCCCCCGCCGTGCGGGAGAGGGCCGCGGCGAGGAGCGGAACGGGACGGGACGCGAGGGGCCGGGCCGGCTTGACCCCGTGACACACGCGGCGATGCAGCGCGGCTGTGTGAGCGGACAGCGCAGTCCGATGCTCACCAGCTGTCGGTCCGTCTCCGTGTGTTGGTCCCAGCGGCTGCCGGGCGGGCCGCCTCCGTGTGTTGGTCCCAGCGGCTCGCCGGGCGGGCCGCATCCGTCTGCTTGTCCCAGCGGCTCGCCGAGCGCGGCCGGGCTGACTGACACCGGAGCGGCCCGGCCGTCGGACGCCGCGGGTGGATGGCTGCTGGCGCGCTGGTGCCGTCGTGCGGCGAGCAGCTGCGTCACCCTGCCACGGCTTTCCGGGGCTCCGCTCCTCCTGATCCAGCTGTGCCATGCGCAGCGCGGACCGACCGGCGGCGGGGCCGCTGAGTTTGCGAACTCTGAGCGGCCGCGGCTCAGCTTCAGCCCGGTCCCGGCACCCGTCCGCGTGTGGCGCCGCTGACCCGTCGCCTCCGCCAGGTCAGCGCAGCATCCTGCAGCGCATCATAGGCTACATCAAGAACGAGCCGGACGAGCTGTGAGTGGGCCGGGTGGGTGGCCCGGCCGGCGGCAGCTCTCAGCGTGACCGGAGCCTCGGCGTCGGCCGGAGCCGGGGCGCTCTGACCTTGACCTGCGGCGGCGGCCGACCCCAGCTGACACGCGGTGTCACGCCGTCGGCCGGTGCTTGTCCTGGGGGGCTGTGAGCTGTACGCGCCCCGCTGGCCGCGCTTCGCCGGCGCCGTCCGCTGTGGACTGGTCGCTCAGCCGGGGGCTGGGGGGGGGGGGGGTTGACCTCACCGCCGGACCGTGACCCGGTGTGGCGGATTTGACGGACTCGACGTGGGCTTTGTCGGCTGGGGCGCGGCCGAGCGCTGGACCGTGCTGGGGATCGCCGCATCACACGACACACTCCCGTCGTCTCTCGACGCCCGGCCGCTCTAGGACGCAGACCGGGGACGAGGGCGGCCGGCGGCCGGTCTGTAACCCGCTCTTTGCCGACTCGTATGACTCCAGACGTGTCCGCGACCGTGACCTTCCCGCGCGACTCGAGGCCTCGCCTTCCGCCCACGACCCGAGCCTTTGCTAGCGACTCGTGGCTCCGCGCGATCCGTCACGGCCCGATGACCCCGGACCTCACGCCGTGACCCGGGGCCCTGACCCTTGCTCCATGACACTTCCGCTGGCCATGACCCTGCTCCTGCCCTGCGATCTGTCACGTTCATGTGACATGTGATCTTTCCCTACGGCCCGTGACCTTTCGTTTCCTCGAAACCGCCGTGACCCGCCCCGGGCGCCTCCGACTGCACGGCTTCCTTCGCCTTCTCCCGCGAGGTGCGGCTCCACACGCACGTGACGGCGACGACGAGGCGACGACGAGCTGGTGATGGCGGTCTGTTTTTGGCGCAGCGGCCGCCCGACGGCCGTAAGATCGATACGCCGTCGGCGGCCACGTGGCGCTCGGGCACGCAGCGCAGTCGCCTCACCACGTGACCCGCCTGGGCCGCATGGGTCGCTCGTTATACGTATTTATAGGCGCAAACGAGGATATATGGTATTTGTGTGTGGGTGTGGGAGTGCGTCTTTGTGTGCGTGTGTGCGTGCGTACGTGCGTGTGCCGGTTGTAGGAGCTACATATTTTTTCCAGGGACTGGCGGCGGCACGCCCCGTTGCCATGGTGATATGGACTTATGGACAGTCATGTCAGACATGTCAGGGGGCACGGGATGTGGAGAACATGCCGCGTTCGAAGGAGTGCGGTGCCGGAGGTGCCTGACAAATGGTCTTTCACACCGATGGGCGCCACGGTTGTGGAGCGCACATACCAGGTGCTCGGTATCATTTGGTCGGCGGTCGGAAAGCCTCGATGTTGCATTAGATAGCCCGATACGCATGCGATGAAAGTCGAATATTGGCTTCGATGTTGGCGCGTGCCTTCAGGCATGTCATTCAGCAACGTTGGCGAAAACCACTGGCGGCATCTGCCGACTGTCCTCCGCCAGGCCCCACGATGAGCCGTCCGCGCCAGTCGTCTGCTCGATGCCTTCCATGGCTGCTGAGGCAGCAGGCCACTCTGACGGTGACGGCCGTGGTGACTGTGCGACAGCTATGGTGTAGGGGACCGTGGTGACTGTGCGACAGCTGTGGTGTATGGGACCGTGGTGACTGTGCGACGGCTATGGTGTATGGGGCCGTGGTGACTGTGCGACGGCTATGGTGTATGGGACCGTGGTGACTGTGCGACGGCTATGGTGTATGGGACCGTGGTGACTGTGCGACGGCTATGGGGTATGGGACCGTGGTGACTGTGTGACAGCTATGGTGTATGGGGCCGTGGTGACTTTGCGACGGCTATGGTGTACGGGGCCGTGGTGACTGTGTGACAGCTATGGTGTATGGGGTTGTGGTGACTGTACGACAGCTATGGTGTGTGGGGCCGTGGTGACTGTGCGACAGCTATGGTGTATGGGGCCGTTGTGGCTGCGACAGCTGTGGTGTATGGGACCGTGGTGACTGTGCGACGGCTATGGTGTATGGGACCGTGGTGACTGTGCGACAGCTATGGTGTATGGGGCCGTGGTGACTGTGCGACAGCTACGGCTTATGGGGCCGTGGTGACTGTGCGACAGCTATGGTATATGGGGGCCGTGGTGACTGTGCGACAGCTATGGTGTATGGATCCCAGTGATGACGCCCGAGTCGGACTTCTTCCCGGTAGTTACCGCGCTGGGGTTTGATGGCTCGCCGGGTATAGTGCAACATTGTCTTTGTGAGTTGTGATTTTTGTTGAGGGCCACCGTCTCCCGAGTTCCACAGCACAGCCGTCTGTCGTCTCGACTGGTGCTTGCATTCGTGACTGTCTATGGGAGCTAGGCTCTTCCAGCGCTGGCTCGAGCGGCTGCCGTTGCCGTGGCGCGCGCTGTCAAGTCGGTACGGGCTCTGAGCGCTGGCGAGTCGGTGCGAGCTCCACTTGACGCCTGGCGCGGGCTTTGTCTGCCGGGCGCGCGATTTTTATGCCGTTATCTACGCTGATGGGCTGTTTACGCGCGCAATCTGGCCGTATCTGAGGGAAATGGACTCATCAACCCGTCTGCTTCGCTAACTTTGCACGAAAACAGGGCAAGTTTGCGGGTGGTGTGTAGCCAATTACTGCCGGCCGGGATTAAAGTGTCGCCCCTCCCCGGCGTCCGTGCCGCAGGGGGCCTGAGGTCGGGACCCGGTG